TCATTTTCACCCTTGGGTGTCAAATGGGGGTCGAAAATGATGTTTTTCTACCAAACCCTGGTTCCCAGAACCCCTCTTACATTTTACAACGTAGCCTTATCATCTATTGGAAGATGATAGGTGGTGTCCTATAGATGTGCAATAATGTTTTGGAATTTTCATTTTCATCCTGGGGGTCAAATGGGGGCCGAAAAACGAATCCTTTTTTATACAAAAACACCCTGATTCCCAGAACTCCTCTTACTTTTTATGCAGTAGCCTAATCATCCTTTTTGGGGAATTTCTATTTTCACCCTTGGGGTCAAATAGGGGTCGAAAAATGACGTTTTTTCTACACTTTTAATCTAATTTTTAGTAACCATGGCAACATCAAAAGCTGATTAACACTGAATTATGTACATTATTTAAGGCTGATTGTGCACAAAAGTCATTGAAGTCGAACCAAAACTATAGGAGGAGTATGAATGAATGAGGGAATTTCACAAAAACATCTTTTTTTACTAACCATAGCAACAAGTGTTCAAGGAAATCAAAAACTGTGATAAACAGAATTATGCATCTTAGTATAGCTACTTGTGCTCCAAGTATAAATGAAAACTACGGTGAAAGCTGTGGGAGGAGTAGAGTAGAGTAGAGTTTTGGAAGAACAGTACATGTTTGATTCTACACTATGTTATGAAGCTCTCACATAAGATTAATCTTAGTTTTTCTTGTCCAGTGCATGGTTCTTGAGGAGATTTTTTCCTATACATTCCCATGTAAAACTTTGATCCCCTATTGTGACCAACCCTACCCATGGAGGTCATAATTTGGACAAACTTGAATTAACACTATGTGACGAATTTCACATAATTAAGTTAAAACTATTCTGGCCCAGTGGTTCTTGAGAAGAAGAGTTTTGAAATATACCATTCAATTTTCACTCATTCTTACCTCCCCTTAAAAGAGGACGTGACCTTTCATTTAAACAACTTATATCCCTTCATCCAAGGATACTTTGAGGTAATTTTTGCTTTAATTGTCACAGTCACTGTGGTTCTTGAGAAGAAGATGAAATAAAAAAAGAAAATTATGACGAAAAGAGCACATTTTACACATTAATTGTTTTACATGAGAAATGTTTTACACGAGAAATAAAATTCTTTATGTTTCTAAATATCTCATCATACCTCTAGTGTGTTTCTTGTTCATTTAACTAAGATAATAATGATTTCACCCTGACTGGTTCAATTTTGTACAGGCTCATGTATGATTATTATACTCTGAGGGGTATGTTAACCTGTCTCAACAAATCAGATGAGGGGTCAGTGAGTTGTTTTCAAATTATCAAACATAATTTACCTCAGTTTTGCGTACTTTGAAGACGGTCGTGTATTTTCTAATGTATTTAAGTGAAGAACTCACATGTTCTTGAGTGATAGCAGTTCCATGTGACATTTGTAACAAATCATGAAAAAGACTTATTGCTGCGTCCTTTTGTAATTACATATAGATCAAAGACGTAATTGTGATTAAATTTATTATTATTATTATTATTTTTTTTTACATATCTGGGAGGGATATCATTCTAGCTGCAGTATGACTTTCACAGTAGAAAATCCTAAAAAGTTAATAAAAAAAACTTTCCATATAATATTCCATTTATTTTTTGGCTCAAGTAGATGTCAGAAAGAAAGAAAGAAAGGGAGGGAGGGCTTATGAAATAAGGGATTTATGGTCCTCATTATTAATTATATTACAGTTTCTATCTGCTACTTATCTGGATATACATATAAAATAAAATGACTCGTTGGAAAACTTTTCTTTAATGAATGTGTGTACCAGATACATGTAATAATGATACTATACGGAAGGCCTTTTGCAAAATTTGTTATCGTTGATTGATGCTTTAATTTCATTCTGTAAAAATTGCATTTCGACCACTTTTAAAATTCCATTCATTGTGATTATGAACTCGGATATTTATTTTTAGTTATCACAAATCATTAGATTGATCGACTGATTTTAAAATACTGTGGCATCATTTAAATTCGTGGATTGCCTTAATTTTACAAGTTCGAGGGGATGTAATTTTTGAGCATTCACTCATATCTACAAAAGGAAAGATGACTCTTAAAACCCCAATTATTAATTTGTTGAGAATGTGAATTCGTGCATGCAGGGTACCCACGATTTTCACGAATATCAAGCCACCATGAAATTAAATGATTCCACGGTATTAGATAAACGGATAATTTGCATGAAGAAGCGAAGTCTGAAATCTAAAAGGAATTATCTGATTCCCTGTTTTATTTTTTGTTTGTTGTTTACGTCCCTCTCGAGAATTTGTCACTCATATGGAGACGCTACCATTTGCCGGTGGAGGGCTGCATATTTTCACCTATGCTCGGCACTCAGAGCCATTGAGCAGTGAGGGATATTTTTCGTGCCAACACCCAATGCGACAAGGGACCTTATTAGTTATCTAGGTCCAATCAAGGGTTTACGGGGATTTAGCCCGGTTTGTATTCCATATAAAATACAACCCTCAGGGTGTATGGAATACAACCCTCAAGGTGTATGGAATACAATAAGGGGTAAATCCCCGTACACCCTTGATTGGACCTGTATAACAAATTAATTTCCTATGCATCCAAATAAATTCTTTGTAAATAAGTCCAATCAACTGTGTTTTTCAAACTACTGATAAGATTTACCACGTCTTACAATGCAGCGTGACGTCATGTTATTTGCTTTTTATCATAGAGAAACTATGCATTGTGATGTCACGTTTTTTTTTTACCTCCGTCTCAAGTCGGGTGTATGGAAATTTACACCTGACTTTGTAACCAATCAAAACTCGTGTTACAAGCTACAAAGGAAATAAAGGTTTATACAGTCTCATCCGAGGGACTGGTTTTCACGTGCCGCAGTGGATTCGAACCCGCGACGTAAGGATAAACTCCCTACTCCCTACTCTAAAGCAGAGGCTCTAACCACTGCGCCACCAAAGGATGAAATTACACCATTTAGTAGACGGAATGGTAACTGAATGCCCACTGAATGGCCACTGAAAGGTCACTGAAAAGTTCCTTTCCCATGACTTTTCCGTGGTCTTTCAGTTACCATTCAGTCGACTGAATGGCAGATACATTTTAGTGGCCTTTCAGTTATCTTTCAGTTGTACCCTTTTTTATCGAATAATCGGCTTATTTTTTAACGTAGAAATTTTATTTCAACTTTTCTAATTATAATGGTACTATATTAATCTATTTTCGAATTTAAAAAAATGAAAAAAAATTAATAAAAAAACAATCTTGTAGGAAGCCGAGATCGAACCGCGGCCTCCCGTGACATTATATATTAGGCCACGGAGTCTTCTTGAATATTTCTTGATTTAAAATCAATAAATTTGTAGAAATCGAATTGCAACACCCAGTTCACCTGTTGTATTGAGGAGCTGGGTAATGTGTATATATCTTGTATACATTTTGTATATTCTATGTTAATTGCGCGGATTTTTTGGGGCTGACTAATTAATTGCACATCTCTTATCGGGATGATGACAATTATCGGCGACGGGCACCTGTTTTTTTTTTCTCCAAAGAAATGATTTAAGATAAATGTTCACCTTGGAAGCCGTTGTAAATTCTTAAAACGATATCTTTTAACATGCTAAATTATTGTGCGAGTTTAACAATTAAGAAACAAAATTTTACAATATTAAAGTTTCTTCCAGAAAAGGCATAAATAATTAATTCTGTCTCGTCTTTCATAACCTGAAATTTCCATGAAAACTATCCAAATTATACACTATTAGATGGATATAAAAATAATGAAAAACTATTTTAGAGCTGAAAAAAGAAAGCTTTTTACTTCTTTATTTTAAGAGCATTTTGACCGATATCCTTTTTTTCAGATTGTCTGTTTATTCATTTAACAACTTATCAAATTGAATAAGCTTGTGAAAATATTCATAACAAACTTAGAGATTTTACAGAAAGAAAAATAAGACTATTCCCGTAAATTAAATTCTGATACGAATATTATTTTTCATTAGTTTAATAATTTTCTTTTTCTAAATTAATTTTCATAATACAAATTAGAAATTAGAAAATTATTTTGAATTCTATGAGCCCACAGTTGAATTGTAATCTTTAATGTTTATAAAATTATATGTAGACATAAATGTTATAGTTAATAATCACAATTTAACATTTTAGTAAACAATTTAAAGACAATTGAACATCTAACCATTACCAGTTTTAGTTATCTGAATTTTATCTTCAATACGAAAAACAGATGTGAATAATTTTATTTAAAAATTCTTAAGGAATGATTACTGATAAACTAATGAAAAGCCGATGAAAACGTCGTTGAATTACGACTAAAAGGTCGCTGAAAGTTGACGGAAAGGTCGCTGAAAGACGACGGAAAGGTCACTGAAAGATAACTTAAATGTGTCCGCTGAATAGTGACTGAAAGGTACCTGAATTGTGGCTGAAAGGTCACTGAAATGTACCTGCCATTGAGTGACTGAATGGCCACTGAAAAGTCACTGAAAGCCATCTTTCAGTTTTAACTGAAAGGTCCTGTGCACGCGGGCGACTACCCTGTTTTATATATGAGGGTACAAATTTCTTGGTTTATAACACCAAATGTACAAAGGTTGATAGGAATTTGCTTCACTTTATTACATTTGAAAAGTACCTAATATCTTTAAATTCGGAAATAAATGAGGATTATGAGGTACTAGAATTAAATTTACAGACGAACGAAGTTTATTTTCTTTATTCTGAGTTAATTATTTTATAAACCCTAAAGCAAATATCATTGTCTGATAATTGTTCAAGAGATCTTTGTTTTAGCAGCAAATAGTAAAAACTGAATGTCAGCAAGGGTCATTTTGAAATAATATTTGAAAGTGATCAAGCGGAATAAGAGTATTAAATATAACGTGCTATAGATATTTTTCCTCAGTCGGCCATTTAAATTCTCCACACAGATTGCTTAAGAGGATAATGAAGAAAGAATCTGCTAGTTTGTTCTCGTTTTTACTGTTCTTCAGTGGACTTTTGTTTACATGTGTTCATGGACATCTTTATTCAGACGCTGAATCACTTCTCCAGGACGTCTTCAAGAACTACTCAACTGATATCCGACCAAAAGAGAACTTATCAGAAGTTATAGAGGTTTCCGTTAAGCCGATCGTTTTCTCAGTGAACGACTTTGATGAAGTTTCTGAAGTTTTGTCCATTGTTAGTAGTTTTATGCTGGTTTGGCATGATTTTCGGTTGACTTGGACACCAAGCAGTTATGGTGGCATCGAGATTCTCCCTGTCCCGAAACAGAAACTTTGGATTCCGAATATCTTTTTGATTGACCCAGCCAAAAAGATGGAAGCGATTGGGGATGAAGACTTCATAGGCAGAATTTCTTACTCTGGCATCGTTACATGGGGACCAGCAGGTCTTATTCAAACTACATGCAATGTTGACATGTATAAATTTCCCTTTGACACACAATCATGCGCTTTCATATTAGCTCTATGGGGATATTCGCCATCTGAAGCTAAATTAGTTCCTTTTGAAAATATGACTTCAGTGGATACGAATTACTACTCTTCAAATGCCCAGTGGAAGTTGAAAGGAACGGCAATGAAGCGATCTGCACTCGCAGATTACGATAATTTACTTGAGGTTCGATTGACTTTAGAGAGGAGGTACCTTTATTTCCTTATAAACATGTTAGCCCCTATCCTCTTATTGTCCTTACTCAACCCTCTTGTATTTGCCCTACCAGTTGAAAGCGGAGAACGCTTGTCTTATGCTATAACAATCTTCTTGTCATTTGCCGTATTTATGACTTTACTCAGCGACAGTATACCCAAATCTTCCGAGCCAATGTCAATGATGTCGTACTTTCTAATTGTTACGATGTCTATTAGTACTTTGATAATCGTTTTGGCAGTTGTTACAATGCGTCTCCATTTTAAAGATCCTATATTACCAGTTTCAAGTCACTGTGTTTTTATACTCAATGTTCTGAGATTCCGATGCCTGTGGCGCAGTTGTAGAAAAAGCGAAAACAAGATTAAAGTCGTTGTTAAATCTGGGAAAGTGGATGAAAGCTTCGAAAAGAGTAATGTTGATGGAAGAAAAAATACAGCACAATATGAAGCAGAAGAAAAAATCACTCGGAAGGATTTAGCGGAGGGATATGACAGAGTAATGACGTACTATTTTTACGTCTTTGTGTTCATTCAGTGGTCTATTCTCGTAATAGCACTAATGTAAATCTTTTTTATTCAACTTATTTTTAGATTAAAAAAAATAGACTATATGCTTTGAATTTTTCTTCTCTTTATTTTGGCGATTTTAACTTCATCTCTATGAGCAGTTTTAAAACTGTTTGGTCGAAACAAAACAAAACAAAAAAAAAACAAAACAAAACAAAAAAATTAAAACAAAAAAATCAAATATTTCCCAATATACCATCTGCATAAAAGAATTATGGAATTATTTGGAGCTTTAACTAAAGTGTGTATTGTACCTTTTTGCTATATTTTGCCTGAACAAATTTGCATGTAAATGTGTTGTTCAATTATATGCGTTATAATATAACAGGAAAGTGCAAAGAGACCTGAAGGTAAACGTTATGTCAGTTTTTCAACTGCCTAAAAGACTTTAAGTAAACCTTATAAGAAAAGCCGGGCTTATAATGTACAGTGTGTATTTACAAATTGGGAAACATTTTATATACTTATATAGTACAAATGTGTCAATCATATATGGCACGATTCCTTTCAGGATTAATGCTCTTTTAAACGAATGCTTGTGGACTGTATAACGGATTATTTTTACAGCTGTGGATTATATAGTAGGAGAATAGAGTGTTAGAATTTTTAAGTGTTAAATAATATTTTCAATATTTTAATGAGCGTACAAATCAGAATCACACGCAAATTGATTGACCAGACCGCGGACAATTTCCATTCCACAATGCATTGTTCGATGGACAAACCTTGGTAGCACTTATAATTGAGATACGAAGTAGCTGAGTGATACATGGTTTGCTTAACTAATACAAATATTCTTCTTCCTACATATGGCAAGTATACTGAATCAATTCCAGTTACATATACTCCATATCATCAAAAGAGACTGCTTGATGTGTTCTCTAAAACAAGCTAAATCAATATGCACCTAATAAAATCCGCTTCAATGTTGATTAAGAGCTATACTAAGCAAAACAAACGATTTTTCAGCTATAAAAAAATCCATGAGTTCATAATTTTACTTGGCCTAATGCTTAACTGTTAAATGCAGATTAATAATTCGACATTTAATTAGATGACAAAATTGCACTATTGGTAATGAAAAACAAACTATTGTACATTGTAGACCTATAATTGTGGCGCTATTTTTTCACTTTCAAATTAAGACATGTAGGTCAATGGCATACATTTTTAGCATTGGCCTCTGAGTATTTCCCTATTAACATGCTAAAAAAAAAGCACTAAAAACAAGATTTTCTTTCTAAGCAAAATATAACAAGTTATAAAACTCTTTGGAAAATGAAGTATAATGAAAATAAGGACATTGTTACTTTATAAATATACAATTAGAGTTTGAGCAATAAACTTGTTAAATATTGATTATTTTCAATCCGAATTTCTCTATCAATTTTCTAATTCTACTCATTTTTAATATAATATTTTTTTTTAAAATCCTGGATGATAAGTAAAAAATTATTTATCAGTTTACTTGTATTGCCTTCAATCTAATAATTATAAAATTATATAAGGTAATTGATAAATGTTTTAAAATATGCTATTTGAAATGGCTTTTCTTCATATATTTAATTTTCTTCATTGCATGCTTTCCAATTATTTGAAATAAAACGTATACGTTAACATAATCTTTGCAAAACGCATTCGAAAAAAAGATAATAATTTTAATAAAGTCCGAATTTCCTCTGAATTTCTATAAATCTCATTTTTGTTGCACATTTTCGTCAAATAGTAAATAGTACATTTCCTTGTTTGTTCAGATGAAATACAAATTTCCGACTACAATCTCCTTCACGGGGAGAAACAAAATAATTCCCGTGTACCCAAAACACACAATAACCTATACCGTTCTTGGTAGCTCAGTCGTTAGAACGTTCGCTTCCTGATCGGGAGGTTCGAATGTCGGTCGCAACTGAACTAAGTCGATCACAAATGGGTAGCAACTGTTCCTTCGCCATGCGCTCGGCACTTTGAAGTGAAAGTTGCGGGTCCTTCGGATGAGACCTTAAAAACATAATTGTTAGATTTTGATTGGTCGATCTCTGCCTCTCCTAAGACATGAAACAAAATGACCATTATTTATATAGAGGAAAATAATACAACATGATTTTTAATACGTTTATTATGATATTGGCGATTGTTGGTCGTGGCATTTTTAAAAGCAGCAAGGGGTCGCCAAGCATAAAGGGCGACCCCAAATTACAACAAGCAGCAGCAGCAGCAGCAAACAACATGAAAGCACATACATATACTATTAATAAGCATAAATATGGCAGTTCCGGGTATACCGCGAACGGTAATTAACTTTACAATTATATTTTATGTTTTTTACATAAACTTTACATGTATGTAGAGTTATCGTTCCGGGTTAACCGCGAACGTTACTCAACATAATTATTTTAGCAAGCAAAGCAATGCATGAATTTGTTGAAAGCAGTACACATTTTGCACAGTAACTGAGTTTGTTTTAAGCAAGCAAAGCAGATCAGTTCATGAATTTGTTGAAAGCAGCACAAATTTTCAACGTAAATAAGTTTGTTTTAAGCAGCAGCAACACAATGAATTATAGCATCAGTTGAATGGCTCGGCGCAAACGCCACATGGCCGAAACCTTTGGAAACCACAGGTTTCGGTCACCCCATAAAATGGGGGAAGCCGCATTCAACTGACCCACGACCAACAACCCTTAATATATCCTATTTACTGGGTAAAACTTTAATACTTAAATACTTACTCCTGAAACCCCCCCCTTTTTTTTTAATTTAAAGATATTTAATAAAGGCAGAAAATATGTGCCATTTCCTTACTGATGTTTTAATATGCAAGTTTTATGAGGAATTATTAAGGAACAGATTTTATATTAGATTATCCCTGGGTTATTTTACAGCAAATATATATTTTTATATATAAATGTAATGAACAACTAAGGTATTAAGATGCATTACATCTGGAGCAAACTATTGTCCTGTCATTATAAAATGGCTGGTTCTAGTACACCTCTCTCATTTCAACATCAGAAAAAGTATCAATTTATTCAAGCTGATTTAAAGCAACCTTGTTCTGGGGGCAAACCATGTTACTGATACTGGAATCATTGATACTGTTATCATTGGAAATCTTTGCTATCAAATAAATCATGTTTTTGTATTTTGTAAAAGGTCAGCTATTAGGGAATAGTCCCACTAATAGTGCTTACATACGTATGTTTCATACCCAATTTTTTTTTTTAATCCCCACAGTGAATCAAAATGAAATCTTGAAATTTTCAATACTTGGTATGCAAAATAAAAATCTTTCTTAATTAGGATTAAATGAATACTTAAAAGCAGAATAACCTTGTCACCATACTTGAATTCTATTTTTATAGGTTCTAACTCTATTCAAATTGCTTTTCCAACCAAAATAATCTTTATAATTGAGGAGCCTACACACTATAAACTTGATCCTACCAGTTACTGAAGGACATGTACTAGGAATATACATGTAGAACTTGTAAAATTTAACTTCTAATGTGTCTTATAGACTCACAAGTCATACAGAATGCCTTCACTACCTAGAAACAGGGCAGACATGGTCACTAATTAAATGACTAATAAACACAGCAACCCCCTTCCCCTATCTTACTGGATTGCAAGAACATTTTACGTCATCCTACTTATAACAAATATGAATTATTGTGTAGACATTGCCAGACAGTGCATTATACTCACAATCCTCAAAGTACAGAGACCAGGGTCAGAAAATAATTATTTTTGTTTACTGGTCACTCGGGCTATTGCCTTAAATTTTTACTGGCCAGCTTAGTAATTTCACTGTCCCACTGGGACAGTAGATTTTAAAAAGACTGGACAATGACAAAACCATAATAATAAATTTAAAGTAATATTTTTTTATATTGTGATACTTAAAAGTACAACTTAACAAAACAAGAAACAGTAGAAGTTGGGACACACAGCCCTGTCAAGTTAACTAGCCCTACCGAGAATGAATTTTATTATGCATAAAAAATGCTGACCCAAAGGGCACATGCCCTCTGCAAAATTGTACTAGCCAAGATTGAAAATCCACTGGCCCCAGACCAGCGGACCATCAATTATTTCGAGCCCTGATAGAGACGAATATAATTATAAAAAAATTTCCTCAATTTAGACAACAACAAAAATTGAAAATAATATGATGGGAGGAAGACCCTTTCTGCTTAATAAAGGCTTAATCCATACCTTGAACAGGTTTGCAGCTAAAAAGTACTGTTAAAATATAAGTGAGGAAACCATGTGAACTTTTGTCATGTATTAAATCTTATAGCTGACAAACAAAATTTTGCTGTTGATTCTGCATGAATGACCTGTTAAAAGGGTAGGAACCTAACTTTACTGGAAATAATTTGACAAATACTTTAATTCCTAGTCCATAAACAATAGTTTTGTATTTTCTTAAAATTATGCTTGTAACAGCTTAAGTGGCTAAAGATGTAGCTATTAGGTGAAATTCCAATGGGCTGGATTGAGAATGTTTCTGCCCCTGGATCTTATATACCTGAGCCATTAACAATACTTACTAAAGAAAATTATCAATGTGAAATATCACTTTTAATTGGCAAACAGCTGGAGCTTATGAAATCAACTCGAAAAAATTTCAGTCTTTTGAATAATTGCCTTCTGGTTTCATCAATTAATTAGCTACTTGTAAAAAAGGAACCAAAAATTATGCCTTCAGTCTTACCTTCAAAATTCCCATGCTACCTGTACATGAATCAGTTTGGAGTTGTATTACTTATGTGTACTTGAATTGACCTACACTAGACCTTGAAATTTATAAATCTCACGGAATCTTTGAAGAAATACAGATACTCCCAATCCTGGTAATTCTACTGTCATGATGGGCTCAAAAGGAGCATTCCTTGCATAGTACACTCTTCTATTGAAAACCCTATCCCCAAAGAATTATTATAATTTCAACATGAGAGTCAGATACTAATTATCTTACAATAAAATTGTTTTTATT